GTGCACTAAACACAGTGGACCAACAACCCTGAACAACCCACTGCCTCTACATGTACAGCCCTAAAAGGCAATAGGACTACCTTAACCACCTTCTTTTACCTAAATGTAACATCAGGTACAAGTACAGGTATAGAGGTTTTGGTACAGGACAGTCAAGACCTGTTTTTTGGTGCTGGACAATGTCTTCTTTTATTTGCTAGAAACAGGTGTTTTGAAAGACAGAGCAGGGGTAATATACATGTAAGTTCCGCTCAAAAGAGTCCAGACTTGTCTCAATACTACTCGCAAACATCTGTTTCAAGTTCAAAAACTCTGGTGAAGTCTGCGATCTCTGATTGTCTTGTGTCATTTTGTTTGGACTGGGTCCTCTCCCAAAACCACCAGACACCCAAACAACTTCAAAACCGTCATTTAGAGGGAGGTTAGTTGTCTTGGATGGCCTTCAAAAAACCTCAGAGGCAACCTTTACTAGGCTTTAGGGTAGCTGCCAAGGTTGCAACTTGTCAAAACTACAGCACGGCCTAGCCTCCATAGCAGGTTTATAGAACTGGGGGTTTGGTGGTCTTCGGCTGTTTTCTGATTAGCCTCCGTAGCAGGCTTATAGAACTGGGGGTTTGGTGGTCTTCGGCTGTTTTCTGATTAGCCCAGTTTAAAAAACAGGCCGGCTGTGTTGTCTATATACAATCAGAAAATAGCACATAAAAGCTCCCAAAGACCCTGAAGACCCCCCCCCAAACCCCCAGTTTTTGGCATGATCTGGAGGCAAAGCACAGCTGTGGAAAAACCACCTGTGAAGGTGCCAAACAATCGATGTCTGCATGAATGAGTTGGAGAGACACTAGTACTGGTTACACCACATTCTCTCATCTAATGCTGTCCATCTTGTTGTTGTAACCATGACTGCAGATTTGATGAAATCTATTTTTGAAAGGATCAAGGTCATGTATTGGTCATTGGTCAAGGTCATCCATGTTCAAACGTTCATGTGAAAATATTAATTGTAATTATAAGCTGCTTGTCTCTAGTTTTGTTACTACGAGACTATAACTCATTAGAAAAGGGTGAGGCAGCTATAAGTTCGAAAGTTCATCTATTTTAGTACATTGTTGTTTGTGCCCTAAATATCATGTTTTACGATGTCTACATATTTCCAAGGATAATGTGGCTACATGTTGCATACTAGAACGATCAAGTTATGCAGAAACAGAGTCAGCAGGCTAGTTTGAAAAACTTTCGCGATTTGTGTTTGCGGATGTCAAAAACGCTGAGGCATTTAAAAATGGGGGCGTTGGTTCAGTCATAGGACTGTAACCGCAGGCCATGTGACTTCAGTGTCACGCGACATTTTTTTTTTCTAGATCTCTGGATCTCGGCCAAGTTTGCCGTTTTTTAAACAAGGGGGGGTTGTTTCTGAGGTCGGTTATACGTGACTAGACATGTCTGGTGTCCACAAGTCTATTGTTAAGGCCTGATCGTCCCCGCGCTAAGAATAGTTGTGAAAAACAAGTGCAGGGGACAGAGGGTGTGTTGAGAGATCGATATGGCAAATGGGCTATGGTCGGCAGAAATGGCTTCTAGAACAACACTTGTGAGAAGGTCAGGGTCACAGAACTGATATGGAGACCACGAATTATCACTGTCTTTCACTGAAAATGGCTCTTTTTGCAGAAAAAAAGGGCAAGTGTTTGCACACGTAATGAAATAAACCATGCATACATGTAGCAACAATGTATTACTTGTACGTGTAAGTCAGTACAGTACACATGTCACTCTGGTATTTGAGAAGTGGCACGAATATGCAAATTAAAGTCACATTAAGGTTAGTATTTACATGTATGCACACTGGACTTTGACTTTGACCTTAAGAGCTCTTAAAAATAGCATGAAGAGCTTCTAATCATAGGGATAATGGAGACTGAAGGACAGGTTCAAATCAAACTCTGGACTGTACCATGGGAGAGATTGAAGAGGGGGACTTTTTTTCCAATATCCACCTGTTGCAATATCATTCATCTGGGGTGCACTTGTTCTGGTTGGCTGATCTGACATACACACACACACACACAAACACACACACACACACACACACACACAAACACACACAAATACATGTACAAGCTCACACATACACACACACACACACACACACACACACAATTACTCACACACACACACACACACACAAACACACACACATACACACACGCACACACACTACACACACACACACAAACACACACACATTCACACAGTGACACACACGCACACACACACACACACACACACACAAACATACACATCACAGAGCAAAACTACAAACTATCAGAAACATTACACACAATCCTCCACCACTACAACTCCCTTTAAAAGTTTAAATGCGCCGAGGCTGTCCTACAGTATAGAGTTTCACAAATAAGCTGCAGGTGTGTCACAGATCTCCCTGTAAAGACTCTACAGATAGCCTGGCGCCAGCGGAAGATTTCTACCTAAGTCCTCAAGCTATGCCACTGGCTGATCAATAACTTGTTTCTAGGTCAGAACTTTCAGGGGAGAAAGGTTTAGAAGAAAGAAACCATCTAAGCCTAAATTTGTAAGCCTTTCTGTGGTCTTAATGATCATCTTTATCTTATTATTTGTAAGCGACAGAGACGGTCCAGTTTTTCATCTGTTATGTATCGTTTTTGATAAAAATAGAGTTGCTATTTTGACGTCTGATAGTAATGTAAGATGATATGTTTGGGTGTACAGTTGACAGTTTCAAAGTTACAATTATACTATTTATAGATCCTTTCTTTGTGCCCTCTTTGTTTTATCTAAAGATTGATGAACATCCTTAAGATATCAAGCTACAATCTGTTGACATGTATCATAGAAGAAATTTTAATTTAGAATCGTGTGCAACCTTATGTTTTCTTCTTCAATTTTAACTTTAAGTTACGGAGAACACAAAACAAATTTGCTTTAGCCAAATAGTGTAGGCTCAAGCACCTTTTTTTGTACAAATCCAATAATCTATGTACCTACATAATGGACAAACAAGACAGCTGCGAGACTTTGGAGTGTTTTTATGAAAAATGTTTGTCCTTTCAAAAGTAGGTCACTGGTCCCAAACAATAGAAACCAGTCAATGGTTAATGATATGTTTTCGGAACTGTGTGACAATACTGTAGATTACTTTATATTTGGGGTAGCAAAAATTCGTGGTCTGAGAAAATGGACATGTTTGCAGAACTATGTGTTCGCAGTGGCGACAGGTGCAAAGAAAAAAAAAAAGAAAGTCGGCAAATTATTTGTTTCGGTAATAATAAATTCGCGGTTCAGAAGTGACCATACAAACTCGGGATATAAAAGCACCGCAAATCTAAAGCGATTTACAGTAATGGGCTGTTCGCTACTGTTTCTGGTGGGTTAATTTTGCAGTGTTCTCTCCCATGCAAATCTACGATACTTTGGATGTATGTTTCCAACGTATCACTACTATACTACAAACTTATTTCAACAGAAGACTTAAGAAAAACTAAAACAGCTGTAAATTAATATGATAACACAACCAATTAGAGTACTGGTTTTGTGCAGTTGGTAGAAATAATTGGATGACGACAAGGAAAAAGCGACAAACAAGACCAGTCAAACTTCCTATCTGGTTAGCCTGCCGTGGCCAAAAATAGCCTGGTGTCAGCAGAACAATTCTTTTCTTAAGTCGGCAAGAAAGGAAAGACACAATAAGTCGCTGGTCCCGTGGGAAAAAGGCAACCTGTTTCCTTTGTAGTCAGCAAAAGGACTGCCAAATAAGGAGTTGGTTTTGTTACACTTTTTTTCTGCTATATCAGTACCACTAAGGGCAGTTGGGGTTTAAGAATAGACAGGTAGAAATTGTCAAGACATGAAAATACAAAACGTATGAAACAAGCTTTTGAAATGAATGAATGAATGAATGAATGAATAAATGAATAAATGAATGAATGAATGAGACAAAAGAATGCCACTTACCTGTTTCAAGGAAATTAAACAGATATTCTATAGCACATACTACTAGTAATTGTACTTTCCCAAAAAGAAGTGCTACAATTCTAGCTCTTCAGTTTTCAGCATAATGGTTGTACAAATTCCTACAATTCTCCACAGATATTTTTCTGTTACCTGTTTTTGGTACCTCCTCCTCCCCTGCCAATGGTTCACTCCATTTTAATTTAGGGGTCACCTTGACCCAGTTGCTGTACTTTGGCCCAGTTGATAACAGCAGACAGGTGATAAGGAACAGCCAGCAGCTGTTGTTTTTCTGTTACTCAACCGACCAATCACAGCTTCGGGCTGACTGTTTGAACTGACCAATCGCAGCTTCAGGCTAAGTGTTTGAACTCAAGTTACCTGCACAGTACTCCTGTACTGTATCAGTGTATGTAAATTTGCAGTATCCTAGCGCAGGGTGAAAATAAATAGTTTGAAGTGGGATCTTTGCGTAGTGGGTTATGTAATAGATGCTCATAGTATGATTACTATGATCAGTTTGTGAAATTAATTATGCAAATTATGCATAAATTATGCAAATTGATGAAGATTAGTGTGGGTTTATCTGTTACAAAACAAACAAACAAACAAACAAACAAGTTAACAGATACCTAACAACATGAACTTTTTACCTTCCAGAAAAATGAGTGAGGAGTTCTATATGGATGAGTGCATGGCTCTATGTTCTACTAAAGAAAGAAAGAAACAAACAAACAAGTAACAACATGATGTTTTACCTTGCAGAGAAATGACTGAGGAGTTCAACATGGCTGAATAATTGTAGCCTTTTAAAGTACTAAACAAACAAACAAACAAACAAACAAGTAACAATGATGTTTTACCTTACAGAAAAACGAGTGAAGAATTTGACATGGATGAGTGTATGGCAGCCATGATCCTGACCAGCCTGTCCTGCAGTCCTGTCTGCAGACAAGCTTCCTAAACAAACAAACAAACAAACAAACAAGTAACAATGATGTTTTACCTTACAGAAAAACGAGTGAGGAGTTTGACATGGATGAGTGCATGGCAGCCATGATCCTGACCAGCCTCTCCTGCAGTCCTGTCTGCAGACAAGCTTCAGACGACAGCTCTGTAAGCTCTGGTACATCAGGTAAGCTCTCGTTATTGCTTTGTACCTGAAACGTAAAAGAATGGACATTCCTGTGTAATGGTATACTAAAGAACCCCGAATCCAAATGATTCTGTCCATGACCATCATCCTTTGCGGTTGTCACCACCTTCGCCATCTTGCATTTTGCGTTTCTTTTATTTTGTGGTCTTTCTTGAGAGAAGCCCATCATAAGTTCCCAACACCTTAGAATTTTTTTTTGGATAAGAAAACTTATTTAGGAGAGAAGCAAAGACTGCCTGAGAATAATCTTGAGACTCAAGAAGTTTGTTACCTTATCATTCAGGAAGGAAACCTCCAAAGAGCAGTTTTAGTTGTTCAAAACAAAACATGACTAATGACAACTCTTAATTACATATTGATTAGAATCTTGAAGCTAAAGTTTTATCCTCTTGAAGCTAAAGTTTTTTCTTCATTTTGGAGCTAAAGTTTTTTCTTCATCTTCAGAAGCTTAAATTTTTTCTTCATCTTGAAGCTAAAGTTTTTCTCATCTTATTTTCCAGGAGAGAAGCCGCCCATGAGCCCTCAGCACTGGCCAGAGGGTCTGCTGTCCTCCAGCCTGAACAGCAGCAGTGGTGCCAGCAGTATCAGCACACTCAGCATGCGATCCTCACCCTCCCCCCCGCACAACCCCCCACACCCCCCGCAGAACACAACACCCCCTCCACCATGTTCGGCACCCCCCCTGTGGACGAGGGGATCGATCTTGGGGAGAGCCACGACTTCTTCTTGGAGGGAAGATCGCCCAGGAAGCGAAAGGTGAGTCAACTTTTGTTTTTAAAGTTTTGTAAATTTGCTCTAGGAGAAGTAGTTACATTAATAGAAATTTAGGGGACGTTTTTCTTTTTTTTTTCCAGAAAAACACCAGTCCTGTTTGTGTTTTTATTTAGATTCATTTAATTAAAAGAAAGGTTGTTTTAATTCTTGTCCTTTTTACGAAAGATAGAAGTGCTGTAATAGTACATGTATAAAGTTGATATATATATTTTTTTTCTATTGTTTAATGGAACATTTATGTCATGTTTCATGTTCTTGAACCAAAATTATGGCTATATTTTACACCAATTGCCTAGACTACTCTGAGTTCTCTGTGGACACTATAACATGTACATGTATATGATTATGGAATGCCTATTTATATATATATATATTGGATACTGTCTTGCCTATTCATTATTGGATACTATCTTGCCTATTGAATACTGCCTGCCTATTGAATACTGTCTTGCCTATCGGATACTGCCTTTGCCATTGGATATTCTGCTCCCAAAGCCAATGTCACAATGTTAGCATGCTTAGCAGTATCACAGACATATAGGCTTCCTGTCCTGTCATTGAGACATACAGTATCGGCAGCCGGCTTAGTCCTAGTGTCACATTCCTGCACACACAGCCAAGTAGTCATACACATGATACAGGGCTCTAGGCAGCTTAAAATAGTTTTCTGCCAGCCTAGGTTCATGATTGGACCTGGGGGGAGACTGCTAGCAATTCGAGGGGGGGGGGGGGTCAGGGGAAAATTTTGGATTCTAAGCCTTCGAGCTTCGTTTAAAAATGTAGTTTCCTACATTTTGAGCAAACCATAGGGTTGCAAGTGGTTTAGGCTCCATAGTGCCAAAAACTGGGGGTTTTGGGGGTCTTCATGGTCTTAAGGAGCTTTTATGTGCTATTTTCTGATTGCATATAGACAACATAGCCGGCCTGGTTGAATTACCCCCATTTTTAGAACTGAGCTAATCAGAAAACAGCCGAAGACCACTAAACACCCAGTTCTATAAGCCTGCTACGGAGGCTACAAGTTGTTGTTGTTGGTCCTTTGGATGCTTTTTTTACATTTTCACCCAAGATTTTCTGGTGCTGGCTAATTTTTTACCCCTGGTGTCACATTCTGGCAAACACAGACAAGCAGAGTCAGGCTGTGAACAGTTGCCAAAGATAGCTTTTCATCTGGGGCTGTGTTGACTTGGTGGGGACATGGGAGGTGGATCTGGGTGTTTAGCATGGAGAAAATCCTACACAGATGTCATTTCTTGAAACCAAGCCATTTTGGGGAATGAATCTTGGTCAGAGAGATCATTCTAATGCTAGAGAATGGAGGACAAAATAGGTGTATAACAGCTAAATGAGTTTTCTTCCCATTTAGGGGCTCTTGAGTTATAGAATTACACAGTAAGACATTTAGTTTTTTTTCAGCATTTTTTTTCTACTTTGACAGCTTTTTTAGGGTACGGTATTCGGTAACCCCCCCAAAAAAAGTATCCATAGTAAGAAAAACTGTCTTAATTTGTCTTAACTGTCTTAACTAAATTTGTACCTAAAAATTTATTATTACCGTGAGCAAATAATTCGTCAACTTTCTATTTGCTGTACCTGCCGCCCACCACAAACATATAGTTCCGCAAACATGTCCATTTTTATAGACAGCTAAAAACAGGCAGCTAGCCCGACAATTTGCCTAAGAACAGCCAAAACAATCCTCACATCTGCTTGGGCAGTGATGATACAATACATTGTAGTCTCCAGAGGTACCCTGCTGGTATATGGAGCCTTATAAACAACTTATCACCTACTTATGATCAGTGATTGTTTGGTTTCCTTCTGTCCTGTAATATGGGGCAGGGAGGAGCACTGTGTCCTCAATAGGGTCAGATAACTGACCAATCACTGAAGACAATAGGGTGATAACTGACCAATCACAGCCCTCAATAGGGTGATAACTGACCAATCACTGAAGACAATTGATTTGAGATGGGCTGTTATATAGAACTAGGACAGGAATGATACTGTAAGTCACTGTTCACAGTCTGAGAAAAAATGGACATGTTTGTGGAAGTATACGCTCACAGTGGCAGTAGGTGCAGCAAAAAGAAAGTAGGCGAATTGTTGTTCATAGTATTCTTGGTAGTCCTTCGTCGCCGAAGATGATTGTCAGTATGCTCAATCACGGGGGATGAGACCTCATGTGACTTCTTAGTCCGAAGCCTGAGGCAGTTCATAGTATTAGTAATAATAAATTTGCGGTACAGAAGTGACTGTGAAAGCTGCAAATATAAAAGTACAGCGAAAACATCATGATTTACAGAAGTTCCAGATCTAGTTCCAGGGACTGGCATCCAATTCAAATGCAATTTCAGGGTGGCAAACCAAGGAAAAATATTCTGGATGAGGAAATTTGTCTGATATTTCATTTCATGTTTTTGTCATCATTTCATACTTGAAATATTTGAAGTACTGTTCTGTATTTAAAGTAAAAACGAACTATTTCTCACAATTGAATGTCAAGAATACTCTGTAATTGTGTTTACTGCATATGCTGACCACAGAAGCTGATTAAAGCCATGTTTTTAACCACGAAATCATAGCAATTTTACCTGTAAATACCTTAGAAATCCACTAGGATAACTCAATAAAACCTGGTATATGTATAACTAAAGCTGGTATAATTAGGTTACGCTGTACTTGAACCCTGGATCAGTTTGTTTACAAAGTTCCCTGCTTAACTCTTAATCCAGGCATTACACATGTCAGGCATATCCAAATGTTGGGCTGCTCTGGTGTATTTCCCTGTGGTTCTACAATTTTTGGGGCTTAGAAACCGATTTTTCAAAGTCAACATTCTAGTCATTTATCTACATACTAAGTTCAAACCACACTATCCCAATGTATATTGACCCTCACGGAGCAAAAAATCCAAAATCCTGACGGAAAATGGTTATCAGAGGATGCCTTTACAATAGAAATTAAGAATGAGGCCACAACGAAATAGAGCTAGGCAGAAAACTTGAATCTGGTTTTAGTCACTTCAGAAAACCGCATTAGGGTGTAAACCTGACTCTCAGGCTATGATTTCATGTTGTTTTACTATTTGACTCATTTTGAGCATTATTTTCTTATGTCTGAGAACCAACAAATCAAATTGGCATGGCCCCACATAGCTTGTGTATTGAGAAAACAGCACATACTGCTAGAGCTGTGTTGCCAGGAGCCTTGTGTGTGTGTAAGGAACCAATTGACAACCCAGTGAGCTAGATCTCCCTATCTAAAGGAATTATCTACATGCTGGTTTTTTATGTAGGTCAGGCCCCTTGTTACATGTTTCTAAACACTCTGGTTTTACACTGAAACCAAAGCCAGTGTCACCCTCTGCGTACTACTATACTATTACATGTAGTACATACTCAACATTGTGTGATCGTGTGTGTGTGTTAACAGCTTGACTATACTAGCAGTTAGGGTGTAGTTTATAGGCTGGGTTTGAAATATTACTTCCGTTCAATTAATTCTACAAGTGACAGGGTGGCTTGCTGACCTCTTTGGGTTACATACTTGTGGTGGTCTCTACACAAACCAAGGGAACCAGCAAGCTGATATGCATGTTTAGGATTTCTATGTGCTCAATATAGTATCTTGAACAGTGGTATTGGTGGGTTGGATTTTGATAATTGTACAACATGGGTTGGTGTTAATTATATTGGTTCAGCTGTACAAAAGACAGCCAGGGTTGGTTACAAGACTATTTTAAAGGGCTAAGCCTGGCTTGGTTTTACTTTTTATACTTCGAAAGATAACATTGAGTAACATTGTCTTCATGTATGGATGATTTGGTCTTTCTTTTGGAAGGAGGTACAAAGAAATTGACCTACTGTTGCAGATGATTGTTTGAACTTGATTGACACAAAATGTAACAATTCCTTTTGTGGCGGTCGGTTCCCCTTTTCATACCATGTGTTCATGTTGCTATGTGCCAAAAGAGAAATACAGAAAAAAAAACCCGAATGATTTGATTGTTTTGAGAGAAACCCTTTTCTTGCCCTTCCTAGTAGTATTTGTAGTTGTTCCTTAGAAAAGAAAAGGGTTTCTCTCAAAACAATCCACAATTCTGCTTGTTTGGGGGTCAATTTCTACATCCTGCAACAAGAACATCACTTCTCATAATCACATGTTGTTTGCCAAGGACCAAGCGCATGTCTATCAAAAAAAGGACTTTCAAACTGTTGCAGTTTTCTTTACACTGAAGTCCCAAGTCACTAATGGTCCATGGATTACTAAGTAAACCCATGCTTTACTCTCCAAGTCTAGGAACTTTGAAAACAAGTATGAGGTATGCTTTCCAATATATCATAGCTATTCTGCACCTGTTAAGTTTTAGGGGAGGAATTACTCCAAGATGAGTCATATTGTTGTGTGAGGAGGGAATAAGAGAAAGTTCAGCTTCCTTGAGTAACTGGAAAGTGAAAGTTTGAAGGAGTTGCCAGGAAATGCCTGTGTGTTGCTTTCAGTCTTGGCTTTAGCCACCATGTCGTCTAATTACTTTACTCCCTAGGGGAAGCACATACACTGTATGGCTTGTCATCAGTGTGTTTTTAGTTGTCTTTTTTCTGCAATTTCCAACATCCTCAGTGATAGTATTTCTGTCTTATGTCTGTCTGGAACGTAGTGGAAGGGTTGCAAAGCACTATGGGTAAGGGGGTGAAGTTTGCCACCTCAGGTCAATGAAAGAACAGCCTCCTTAATTGGAAGGTAGGCGAACTTTCGGAAGTACTTGGGGTAACAAGCTGTTGGGAGAAACGAGGACAAAAACAGAGAGAAGTTCAAAGTTGTTTGTGACCAGCACTGTTGAAAGACAGTTTTCATACTTCATGCTGGTTTTTGATGACTGTTTTTTCCTACAACTTTTTTCTTTCTTACTTCACCCTAAAGAACAGAAATGTTGTTCTTGGATTGTGATCTGTCTGTCTGTGAGTTCTTGCTATTCCCAG